TTTGTTTTGTATTTGATGCGCAAGATGCTTGTATCATCAGTTGCTTTTCTCTATCTTCTTTTTTTTTTTAATTCATATAAATTGAGAATAATAGATACGTACGCTATAGAAAGCTGTTTTTTAGATTAAGAGGATGATATCCTTAACAGATGTTTCCTTGTTTCTGTTTTTTAATTAACATCGTTTCCATTAGTCCAGGTTTTTCTTTCTGACACGAGCAAGGGTCATCACCTTCAGAAATGCTCACGAATGATAAGCATCTGAAGTTATTCGTGCAGTCAAAGGAATGACACAGCTTATTGTGTGCTTGAAAATAAGACATTTAACTGGTGTAATTAAAACACCAGTGGAAGGTTAAATGATGAGCTGCTCAGATTTTGAAAGATAGACTGAATGACACTGCATTTTGAGAGTCGCTGAGAACTAAGATGCTGAGGATCACAGCAGAGGGATTTTCATGGTTCTTGCTATTCTTCTTTTCTAGGACCGTTTCTATTTCTCAGCCAGCAATACTGTGCTTGATTTTTCCTAAAAAAAAAAAAAAAAAAAAAAAGGAGGTCCCAAGAGCTCATCCTGAGCTCCAGGGTGGACATCTAGCCCTGTGGCTGTGCTGGTGGTATCTTCTTGCCCTGATGTTCCCCACCTATGGCTCCTGAGCACCTCACTAAGGCCTGTCCCATGTTCATGCTGTTCTCAGGCTGTTGTTACACGAAGTTTCTGGGCTTGTCTTTCCCTTCCACTTCAGCTGCTCTCCTCGGATAATGAGTTTTTCTTTCCACCTTCAGATGTTTGGGAAACACCTCTCCCTCTTGTAAAGCAGCTTGTAAAAATAGTTAAGTGGTAAGTTCATTTTGCGCATAAGTAGGGAAGTAAATGTTAAAATGCTTAATGTCACTGTAGATGCACTTTAATGCAATTTAACATATGGAAACTGGAGAGTCAGCATTCAGTCTGATCCAAAACTTACTGAAGTGGAAGGGCAGGTTCCCATTGGCTTCGAAGGGCTTTGAATCAGCCAGATCTTGTTCAGCCACCAGAATCTGTGACCCTCCTGAAATAAATGGCTAACATGTAAGCAATTAAATAACTTCAGCACTTCTGAAAACTTTATCTGAATTTGGTTAAGCTTACAAGGATTAAGTGCACAGTGTATGTTAATTGCAAATAAAGACCTTAATTCCTTTTCTTTACTTCAGCATGTCAGGGACTGGGAGCTTAAGGGAAATAGTGAGGGTTTATTTCGAGGATTTCAGCAATCAGCATTATAAGGCCTTGATTTTTAGTGAGTAGATGAGTGCAGAATCTAGTTATTACTTCAGAATGAGGATGCTTTGATGTGTGCCTGTAGTATATCCAAGGTGTTGCCTTGAATCTGGTTTACCCAAAGAAAAAGTGCCATATTACAGGCTTTACGAGAGGGATTGGTCTGATACAGAACCAGGGAGCCAGAACCCACATGTTTAAATCTGATTTCACCTAGGTGATTTTAAAAATGTGATGTTTGCTTTTAAAACTGTGTTGTGGAGATTGCTTTTAAATGACGTGGAGAGAGTGAAGTGGGGGCTTGAGGCTGTTGAAGCAAACAGTCATTGATAATGATTATTGAAAACGTGTTTTTTTTTCTATTGTAGGGAGAAAAATATGTATGAAAGATAAATTTTGGTATCATTTCTGAGGTTTTAGTTGTTCTGAAGACAAAAATACCAATTATTCTGGGTTAGACTGGAGGTCATTCATAAGAACTAGCAGCTCCTTTAATATGTTGTTTTTCCTTCATTTCCTATCAGTTTAAGGTCAGAACAAATATGTCTGTGCCAGTTTTTCTGACTTGTAACAGATAGTATCGTGTCAGATTGCTTGTCCTCATTCTGTCTGCAGAAGACTAGAATTTGCGTTAGTTACATTCAGCTGTATGCATCTGTACGTCTTGACATCTAAAATAGTTGGTTTGGATACATCTTTGAAATTCAGAGTAGATAAATCTACGGAACAGAGTAGTGAGGTCCTCAGCTCCTTTCTAAAGTTTCAAAATAAAAATAACTGTGCACATTCATCTCACAGTAAGAGAATGGGAGAAAATAATGAGTCTCGCTCCATCTAATTGTAGCTACTACGTGTATATTACTAATCAAGTAACTCCATTTTAGGTCTGAATCAGGCTACGTATTAAAAAGAGGAAATAAGTATGCACCTGTTATGAACTGTTGAAAGCGAATTCAGACTGTTTCTTTGTAATTTTAATTCAAGTGAATTAAAACCAGTCTTTCTCTGATATTTCTGACGCGTTAGACATTTTGGAGAACCAGTTCTAGCTTTGGATTGTAGTTTGTATTTTTGAAATTTTGTTCTTTGTTCTTGAGTTAGCAAGATTTAACAGGTTCTGCAGCTTTGGCTGCAGAAGTGAGAATGCAGAAGTTGGACAGTCAGGACATTCCCAAATGCAGGAGACAGTCACTCTTTATACATTGCCTTCCATTTCTAGATATATGTATAATACCTATTTCTACATGACTGAAATAGCAAGAATACTGGTACTTAAAGCAGGAAAATTTGCTTTCATGTAAATAAGCATCCTTTAAAAAAAAATCTGAATTGTTTCAGAGGAAGAAAGCATTTACGCACATGTTGATTTGCACTCCTCATTCTTCTTCTAAATTATTTCAAAATCAAGCCCTGAACTTACTCAGAATCTTGATAATAATGGTGCTTCAACACCACATGAAAACCTCATGTAACAGGGAGAATTTTGAAACTGTAGTTAACAAAATATTTACTTCTATGCTATCTAGAAGTGTAAAATCTCTCAAGTTTTCTAATCTGTGTCTGTTAATTTGTATGTAATATTTCTTTGTGGTAGACCTTTTCGATTAAAAAAAATGTGTAGATTTAAATATTTGCAAGATTAAAAGCCAGGAATGGCCCGTTTCCATATAAAGGCATCTGTTTTTGCAGTTACTGCCCAAGTGGAAAATTGGAAAGAAATTGTTGTGCTTTCCGTTAGCTTTAGGGCATTACATAGCTAAAAATTCCATGTATCCTTTTTGAGAGTAGTACATGTAGGAAGATGCAGGTTTCAAAAACACTGAAGGAGAGTTGAATAAAACCAAAATAAAAGGATATGCCCTAATTTTTTTTTTTTTTAATTTTTATTTTTTCTTTAGTTTTAAAGACGAATCATAGATCGTCATTTTGGAAAAGTTAAACATAACAGTCTCAGATAGCTTCTTCAAAGCAAGTCCTGAACAGGAAAAGTAAATATTCCCCTTGGAATGTTCTCTGTGTTTGGTTCCCTAACAATCAGAATATCGTGCTGTTGGGTGAGAAGAGATGAAATTATTCATGCTAAGGTGTGGTTTTATTGCATGGACAGAAATGCATTTAGAAGAAAAGAACTCTTTTTGCTGACCTAACTGAATCTGCAGAAGTTCTATTTTTATTTCCTACATATTTCCTACCCAGCGCCTGACTATTTCTGCCTACTCCTATAGTAGCTATGGTTGCCTAAGGTGTTAACCCTGTGTTGTAATCTACCTTTTTCCCCTTAGACATCATTCCTTCTTTGTCACTTTTTGTATTTGAGTCTAATGGCAAATAAATCCAAAAGAATCACAGAATCACAGGATGGCCAGGGTTGGAAGGAACCTCAAGGATCATGAATCTCCAACCCCCCTGCCACATGCAGGGCCACCAGCCTCCCCATTTAATACTAGACCAGGCTGCCCAGGGCCTCATCTGATCTGGCCTTGAAAAAGGTCATTTTTTTATCTACTGTTACTTACTGCAATGAGCAGTGTGCTCTTACGATGATTTAGGCTGTATCTGATTATCCTACGGTCAACTGCCACATCCAACCTCTGCCACTAGTTTCTTCTCCTTTTTGTAATCTAACATCTAAATAAAGAGTAAGCTATGCACTTGAAAAGTATATATTTTGAGAGGTTCTGTCAATGTAATAAAAGAAGTCATATTCACAGTTTGTTATTAAATGTAGATATTTAAAGTACTGCTCTTTTTGTAATTCTCTATTTGGAGGTGGATGTCAAGGAGAATCTGGTTTTCTATTTTCCTGTGTGAATTATGGATTTAGGAGTGTGAAGAGGCTGATGGAAGCAGGACAAAAGACATGAGCAGCTCAGCAATCAAAGTATGTTGTGCTTGTGTGTGACAGCACCTGTGTGAGTCTTGGAGGCTCTGAGCAGATGAAGGAGTTGCTGAGAAGTAACGTCTAGGGTGAGCGGTCCATATGGGGAAATGAAAGACAGCAGTGTGCTTACTGCAGTGCACCATGTGTTTGCCCTTACGTGACAAAGTTCACTTACCAGCTTAGCCTTGTGGCAACCTGTTTATCTGCCTATACTTTTGATATTATTGCTTCTTTGTTTGCTTACCACTTCCCACAGAGAAAGCGCCTCCTGCTTTGTTCTCGGTTTATTCCTGTTGCCTGGTTGGAGAGAGGCATCCATTTGAGGTGTTGTTATCGGACCTTGGCTGTCAACTTGGGAATTTGGGAATTGTTTTTGAGTTTTAAGAGTCCTAATGTTGTCTTCCTCCTCATTTGGTGAAAAGGGCAAAATAGAGAGGTCAGTAGCCTGTCGTCCTTAAACAGATGGGCTGAAAGAGACAGAAGGTTCCAACGTCACGATTTCCAGCAGCTTTGGAGAGAGACTGCAGCAGGGGTGCAGTAAAGTAGGCAACAAGAGCGTCATCAAGTTTTCAAATAACTGCTATTTTTATTATTGTAAAATTAAATAGTGTTCGAATTAACTGTTGTGGTTTTTCTTAAGCAGTGATTCTTTCTTTAATATAGATCAAAATAGCAGAAGTGTATGTCTCAAGGCACTGAGTCATTGCAAAACAATGTCTTAACGTTCTTCTTCAACCAGTGGAAAAACCTTGGTCTAAGGATGATGAATGCTTTTTGTGGATAACTTGCATAGTGACTATAATTTTTGTGCTTCTTTCTTCATTTTTATGTAAGTTAATTTGTTTTCTGATTAAATAATTTTGTTCTTGCTTTTTGATCTTTCTTTTTAGGCTTCTTTAAGCCAGACATAATATTGATAGAATGAAAAAGTTTAAGAGGAGACTTTCCTTAACCTTGCGTGGAAGTCAGACCATTGATGAGTCGCTGTCTGAGCTAGCAGAACAAATGACAATTGAAGAAAACAGCAGCAAAGATAATGGTAAGCGTGTCTTTCACTGAAATGTAAGAATTTTGATCAGATCTTGCATGAGGGAATGATGTTGGGTTTTATTTCAGGTTTCATAATTGCATGGACATCCTTATCAAGCTGTTCTTTTAATTTACCTTACATTTGACAAGTCTGGTTCTTGTAACAAACTGATACCTTGTCACATACTGGTTTACTTTAATATCAAATTATTATACATATTTATCAAGAATTACCTGAATTGCTTTTTTAATGTGTTGAGCAGCAAGGATTGTAGATGGTCTATCAGTAAACAAACCCATTATTGTATGAATTTAGTGGGTCTTGGAACAACCTCATATTGCTTCAAATTAAGTTTATATCCCCAAATCATTCTGTAATATGTTGATAATAATTGCCTAGGTACTATAAATGTAACTGTTTACCTTATCATTGGTGGTGTAGCATGCTAGTCTGAAAACTATTACTGAGAATAAGTACTACTTTTCTACAGTAGGAAGGCATTTAAAAGTATCAGAGATAACTAGCTTGTCTATGTATTCTTATGCAAGTCTTTGTCTGATCCCATAAGCATACTGGCTGCTGTGAAGTCTGCAGTAGTGATAGTACTGCTTCTGAACCCGCGTTGCAGTAATAATGACTAGAAGAGATTTTATTTGCTTTGTTCTGTTTTCTTGGCTGTGGCATTGAAGTCACATTGCATTTTCTGTGCTGGTTAGTATTATTTATTGCTCTACTGACATCTAAGATTTTCTCAAGTATCAAGAGATCTGATTTATTTTTTTTCACCTCACACCAGTAAGTGATTCTTAATATTCCTGTTGAATATTCATAATTGGCAGGACAGGAAAGTTTGAACAGAAGTAAAGTAGGGGCAGTGGAATTTGCCCTGGAGACTTGCAAGCTCCATCCAAGATATGTTGCATACCAAGCTGAATTTACCTTTGACAAAACAAAACAATTCATATTTTTCAATTTTACACTTAATCCCTAGTTTGTTCATTGCTGTTGTCTTCATCATGGGCCATGCCTGAGAGTTTTGGAAACTATGTCTATTATAACTTTTTGTGTTTATTCAGCATATTTACTCCAAAACAGTAATTGTAGTATTTTCTCACTAATGTGTATAAAGCACTTTCTGAAACATTCTGAGTAGTAGTCCCTCATGGTTTCATTTGTATTAGTCTTTACTGAAGCATATTTTCTTCAGACCTGTACATACTTCTCATAGGTTGATTCCTTTGTGCAAGTAAACGTTAACAAATACTATGTTCATGCTGGGAAGTAAGAATCAAAAATTGCACCATCATCAGTGAGTGTACTGAACTGGGTTGCTGAAGTGACTTGCTTGAAAACTGGATCCAGAAAGTTTCATCTGTGTGACATTCTGGATGCTAGCTCAAGGGAGAGAAGACACAGTAACTAGTTCATGAAGGTGTGAGCTTATGCCATCCTAGACCATGTATTGGCAGTTTTTAATATTTGAGAATTATCTCAACCAGCAACTTAGATGTCTTTTGCATGTTTATCATCAAACCTTGACAAACTTAACTAGTCTGTAGGTATTTTAAATGTTTCTAATTGCAAAAGGACTTGGCTTTCAGTGCTCATTTTACTTTGCTTTCCACGTTATTTCATTGGTTCAGAGGAAGCTTATATGCTAATGTTGTGTGGTACAATGCTTAGAACTGCAAGATGTTAATGCTATAGTGGAATACCTTTGGATACATTTAAGTGTTGTCGATCCTTTTCAAAGAGAAAGAATAGCAAATACAATTGTACTGTTGCTATGTTATTTTTAACATAGCTTTTAATCATTTTACAAAGTTATACAACTATTTTCTTCACTTTTCTGATAGTTTTAGAATGCTTATATTAGTATCAGTTCAAGCTCTGATACTTCAGAGATGAACATTTGGGATATTTTTATGTTCCTTTGAAAACTAGAAAGTTGGAAAAATGCTTGCTACACAATTTAGGAGATCTTGGTTTTCATGCAGATCATAGGAGTCAAGATTTGGACAATTTGCTGTCATATATATGTGTATATATATATGTATGATATATATACAAATATAATGGGAGAGATTTGCCTCAATCTCTTTATATGTATGCGTGTGTATATACATATATATGTAGTGTGTGCGTGTATATATATATACACACACACTCTATATATGTATATAGTGTTAAAAAGCCTGTACTGGTTGTAAATATCAAATTGAAACACAAGAGAATGTAGTGTCTTAAAGAATAGCTTATGAGTTGGTAGATACATTAAGATCATGAAAAGTGCATCTTTTGCTGCAGTAGTGCTGATGAGAAGATAGAAATAACCTTCTATGCCAGTTCAGCTTTTAAAAAGAACAAACAGCTCTTTAACCCTATATACAGAGAAATACAAATGTGACTAGTTTGCAGGCTCTGGATTTCTTCTTAACAGAACTTTAAAAGCTCTGTCTAGTAAATCAAAGGCAAACCAGTATTTTGATCTACAGAGAATCAAAGTCAAGGATACAGCCAGTCTTCAGAAAGTTTCATTGAGTGACTCTTCAGCTTTATTTCTTATGCCAAAAGGCAAGGTACTGCCTCAATACTGAAGGCTCTACAGAATTTTCTTCTACTGCTGTTGTGCAGTTTTTTGTTCTTATTTTTTTCCTCCTAGAGAATAACCTGTCTTGTCTCTTGTCATTCCCTTCTGGTAGCCATACTCACTGGAACATGTACATTGTTGTACAAGCTAGCTTTTTTCCTTCCTGAAAAAATGTCTGGTTTACCGCTCCTTGGGGGCTGCTGAGGCTACATGCATAAAAATCCACTTAACTGCTGACCTACAATCCACGCTCATCCATATGCTTTTTCATAATATTGTTCTATAAAATCTTTATTAGAAAGTTCCAGTTCAGCTTTGTGATTCTGAATGTAGATGACACGCACATCGTACCACAGACCTTTCAACGTGGTCCCCTTTTGCAGTAGACTGTCCTATTCAGCCCACCATCAAACCTGTCCTCTCCCTACAACAATTGCCTCTGATTCCAAATAGCTGCAGCACTCTATTGACCTATCTTGTCATTAACTCCAACTTCTGAGTGGGTTGTTTGAAGACTGGTTTAAAAGAACATTAGTGCTATGCAGAACAAATCGTCCTGCTTGTAGTTCACAAATGTGAAATTAAATACATAACTTTTGATTTCTTTGCAATGCATTGATACCACAGAATCAGCTGGCCTTTTGTATGCAGTTCCATTTCACATGCAGCCTCCTTCATCGTGTTATGTCAGTACAGTCTCAGCATGCAGCACTTACCCATCAGCAGCAAAATGGGATTTGCAGGGATCAACCTGCATTGTTCAGTGCAATAGCAGTGTCGTAGCACAGAGGTATTGCACTGAACATAGAATAATCAACAGTATTCTTTCTAGAACACCATCAAATTACTTTGTGACCAGAAACCTGTATATGATTACATCTGCCTTACAAATTACATTCATAATAATTGGCTTTTGGGTGAGAAAGCATCACATAGTCGGATGCATTAGCCATAAAAGTAGATTGACCAATGAAATACCTAATATGAATCTGAAGCCTTATGTACTGTGGGCTGAAACAGAATCTTTTTTGTGGTCTCTAGTGCTTCAACATATAAAACTAACTAGTTGGATTTGCTGTGTAATTTTTAATTCTGTCTTGATTCTAGCACAATAACAATTTGCTGCCTATTTCTTTTAATCCTAGGTACATTAATATATATGTATTCAGATTAATATTAAAAATACTAAATGGTAATTTGTAGCACGTGAGTACTAAATTTGCTTCTGAAATTTTCCCTTGCCAATGTCATACTAATGAAATTTGGCCAGAAGTAACATCCAAATCATGCATATTTAGAGCTCAATTAAGTGTAAAATTTATGCAAATGCTTTAAATACATACGAGTATGCTCTCTAATGCAAATGAAAAACAGGGCTGTATTGTCTAATATTATAAAATGCATTCTTATAAGCTCAGAGCATGCTTTTAAGATTAATTATAAGATATATTCATAAATACATCCATAGCTCATGTTAATATATAAGTAACAATCCAGTTGGAATGCCATTATATAATGCCATCTTGTTCTTTGTGTATATGTATACGTACATGCTAAAAACAAAACAAGGGAGGTTTCAATATAATTGACCTCCTGAGTATCATAGAGTAACATTTATCTCCATTTAATCTGCTTTAGCTCAGTGATATGATCATAGGATACGGTTTCACAAACACTTCCATAATTTTTTTGTAATTTTACAGGTGTGAGTAATAATGGAAGGATCAGCTACAGTAAAGTGCGTAAGTGTTTTTTAGGTTTAAGGCATTAATGACTAGTTTCTGCTCTGATAAAAAAGAATCAATGTTTGTAAAAATTGACACATTGCAGTACTGTTGTAGAGCATCCAAATCTTTATGTAGTTGTCATCATTTCATATCATCTTCAGTACAGCTGAGAAGTTGCCATCTGCTGCGTGTGATTCCTTGTATGTAAGGAAAACAGTGTGTTGCAGTGTATTTTCAAGACAGTGTGCAAATCTGTACTTTTTTTTTTGTTGGTTTTGGAGGAAAGAATCAATATAAGGATCTCAAGTGGGGGGGGGGGGAACACCAAAGTAATAGAGCTCATTCTAGAGCTACAGATTACTGCAAATAACTGGAAGTTGTCACAGCTAAATACTGAACCACATACTCTTCCTTACATTATTCTGACAATGGTTTTATTATGTCTGTATGTAACCTTCTGTGCTGTGGCATACATCATTTTTTTGTTATTACTGCTCAGTATGTTTTTTACATCTCACATATGCTGCACAGTGTAGTGTTCTTTCCTCCCTTCTGTTTTCATTTGCTTCATCCCACAAAACCTGGAGGCTCTGTTCATACGTGAAAGTGCTTATAAGTAGAAATCAGCGTGAACATTCAGTACCTGAAAGCATGCTTCAGAGACCTGTGGACTTAAGGGGCTTTTGTCCACCTGTCTCTTCCTTCACAACTGGAGAACAGGTTTGGCAGAAGAATGTGGTGTGTGGATGCAGAAGTGGACTCTGTGTGTATATAACACATTTCTGCTAGCGTAGTCTCACTGATGGATATGTAGAAATTTCTCCTTAAATGGCATTCAGATGAATTTGTGGAGTATGGAAAAATAAAATGAATGTGGTGGTTGTTTTTTTCCTGAAAGTAGGACAAGTAGGCAAGTAGATCCTCTCTTTCCTGATTTGGTTGGCAGTGTGGCCTCACAGGTATTTGTGTTGGGAGCTACAGGGAAGGTAGCTGTGTGTGGGAAGGCAAGAGCGGAGGCAAGGGATGCTTTTAACTTGACTGAGTGCTGACATGTTGATTTAAATTGTACCTGAAACAGTGTGTGAGGGTTTTCTTGTTATGGGATGCCTTCTGGAACTGTGTGTTTTAAAGGGAAGATTAGTACTTGTGATAGGTCATGCACATATGGTAGAAAGGTGCAGTGCTACCATGCTTGCGTTCAAATTCTGGTAGCCACAAGTATTTTCTTGAAGTGTTCTTTAAACAAAAAGAAATAAATCTGAAAAGGCAGATTTTCAGCTTTGAGTATCTTTCCATTTGATTGTGGTTTCCTCCATCTAGACTGAGGGCAAAAATTCACTGTACATAAATTCACCTTTGAAATACTTTTTCTTGTATCCTGATCTTATTTTTGCCTTGCATATTGTCTGTTGTTTTTGTGGTTTAAAAAGTCCATGGTAAAATTTACCTTTTTCATGGCAAAATGTAAAAATAAAAAAAAAAAAACAGGATCCTTACATGCCATTTTATTATTCATTAAGGTACTTTATCTTCATTTCCAGGAGAAACTCAAAGGCTAGCCTTTTGTCAGTATTACAGAACATTTCAAATATTTTATTTTTTTTGTCACGTATCTTCCAAGTGACAAAACTTGCTCTAAACTTGACTTATGTGATCAAATGGATTAACTTTGAGCAATGGGAGGAATCCTTCTAGTTTTATGCTTAGTTTGTAAAGTTGTTATAGTCACATTTGATGCTTTCATTTCATTATTTAAAGAATAAATACAGTTTTGATTGTTTTTGAGTGGTTGTTCTATTTTTAGAGCTCTTCAGTGTTTTCTTAGTTATCACATGATGGATCAGTGGAATCAATCCCAGAAAATAATGCATAAGTTTACATTAATTCATACACTGCTCCACGAGAGTGCAGATAACAGGAAGTGTACAGCTACTTCATGTTATCTGAAAATTTCTTCTGTGACAGCCATCACCTGCAATCAACTAATTTTACTAAGTGAGTCTGACAACCTTCCAGCAGTATAATTAAGTACTGTATCATGCAGAATACCAGCTCTACAATGTCAGAAATTCACATGCATACATTCTAGACTTATTTTCTTCAAAAAAGCAGTTTATTCATAATATTTCATATTGTGTGTCCTAAAAATAGGTCACTGTTGCCAACAAATGCATAAAAATTGAGTGGTCATTAATACAGAATACATTCAGATTATCTAGAACGTGTTCATTTAACTAATGCTGAAATACAGTTAAGGTATACAGCAGTAGCACTTACGACTTTGAATCAGTTGGTAATATTTTTTAAAGGTTGTGATAGATCAGGCTTCATGAAAGCAGAGCTGTCTAGAGATGGAAAATATCATTTCACTTTTGTAGAGTTCTGATGCTTCTCTGCTCTTTATTAAAATGGGAAGGAAAAAAAAAAAAAACAACAAAGGAAACAACCTAGAAATTTTCTGGAGCAAGGGTAAGGTCAAGGTGGGTGGAAAAGAATGCGTATTGTCCTACAAAAACCAGTAGCTGATTCTCAGGGCATTTAATGAGCCCTTGCTGTAGCTGAGCCAATCCTGAGTCAGGCTCTACAGCTAAAAGTGACGAGTGAGGTTCTGCCTTCTCCCCTGTGTTAGGTCTAGCAGTGTGATGGCCTAGTTCAGAAGTCTAAATCAAAGTTATTCTTCTTTTTGCCAGAGGAGGATCTAGGACAATCTTTTTGGTAGCATCAGTGAATTGTGTCATGCTTGCTGTCATGTAAGTTTATCTTTACTTAAAATACAGAACACACCTGGGTTAATTCCTCATTATAAACCAAATTCAGAGGTCATAGGTCTTTGAGTCTGGGTTTCCAGCATCTAACTTATTTTTATCAGCAGAAACTCCAATTGTTTACTTTATTTGTATGAAATTTAAATATATGTTTATTTATTAGTATGTTTTTTTATCTCCAGAATGGAGAACAGTTACTGAATAATGCATTTTCCTGTAGACTTATTCAGCTCTATCAGTGATGCCTGATTTAAAGGGAAGATGTCATCATGTATGACAGGTGATTTTGATTCTTTAATAAAGCTAGCTGAAGAAAATATTCCAAAACTTAGACGGTGGAATATGAAAGCCAGCCTGGTCTTTCAGTCACACAATAGAGATACTCATGGGACATGAAAAAAATAAAAAGAGACAGTTGAATATCTGCTATTAGGTATTCATAAAATGTATTTTAAAATGCATTTTCATTCCTAATGAAAACACTTTCCTTCTTTAATCCACCAACTGAGTGACATGTGACAGTGGCTGAGGTCTTGCATAGAAATGCCAAGCAATTTTGCAGTCTCTCTGGAACTCAGATTAAATAAATCCAGTTAAATAAATCCAGCACCGGAAAGAAGGAAGTGGTGCAGCCCTTTGTTAAGACGGATGGATAACAAGAAGAAAAATTGAGGTTTTATTGAAAAAATACTGAATTTGGGAGTAATTTCAGGGCAGAATTTGCGGTTACTTTAAATTACAGTTAAAGGGAAAAGACGAGACGTCTTTATAGCCTCATAAAATAGTTGGTTTTAATTAATTCCTTGGATGGCGTTCTTGATTATATAGTCTATTGTTCTATTCTACACTGGCAATGCTCATAGTTATGAGCATAAATTTATATTGCTTTGTAATTGAAAATTTTGAGCAACTTATTTTCTGTTCTCAGATGTTTGTTAGCACTTATGTAATTTCAAATGTAGCAAGACAGCGGTGCCTTTCTGGGTACTGTATGTTCTTAAAAATAAATGCATGTTCTCTACAACAAGTCAGCTGTGTGGTTTAGCAGCTCTTAAAACATCAGTAAGCCAGACTGCTCGTGTGTAGAAGAGTATTTACTTTTGATAGTGCTGTTGCAGTTAATTTGTGCTGTGCCAGTAGTAACAGAAGTTTGAGTGATAGGATGCAAGCAGTATGACAAAATGATCCAAATTGCATAAAACAGCTCAGCGTAAACCAAACTTGAAAATCAAGTAGTACAGCAGTATATAGGCATTGTGTTGCCCAACTTTTAACTGAGAGACTTTCTGAGATGTACACCTAACACAATAGCATGCATATGGCTTTATAAAACAGTTGTGTGCGTATAAATACAAACATACTATTACATATTTATATGTAGATACATGAATGCACATATTGTACATATATTTTATATATATAATTTTTTCAAAAGCAGCTACACTCATGTTTCAAAAAGTGTTATAGAGGATGATTCAGTTAACTTTTTTCTTATTTGAATAAAATATTTGCATGATTAGTGTAATGTATGAGTAGTACATTTCTTAATGAAATGAAATTTGTTAAGAAATGTATGAGTTGAACTGAATTTGGTCATTACTTCTTGAAAGACTAGCTGAAACTGGAGTGATTTTGTGGCCAGAATACAAATATAGTACTTACTGAGAAAATATAGTACTTACTGAGAAAATATGATTCAAAAAGAACTACTTTGCAGTCTCTGTTTCAGCTTGCTTTTCACATTGGGAGGTTTATCAGTTTGGGATTAAAGTTTACAGAGTCAAGTGAGGAAAGGGTGGTAGAGATGATTACTTGTGCCTATGCAGGAATGGCTGTAGCAGAAAGAGCAAACCCTCACAGCTGCACCCTTGCAGCACAGGTCTTGCCGTGCAAGGATGGATTGAGTTGTGGATAGCTGTCCTCTTGCTTCTGAAGATGATGTTTGAGGGAGAGTTTGAGATTAAACCCTAAAATGTACTCAGCAGCATTTCCCCCGAGTGCTCTGCGTGTTTCTAGTTCAGAGGGCTTGTTTCTGTGTGTTTAGTAACCTTGAGAAAGTCTCAGTCTCCCCTAGTGTCTTGTAAGCTTTGGTACTTGTACTTGTCACATCCTGTGTGGTGAGGAGTTTCCAGAGACGTGTGTAATGAAGAACCACTTCCGTGTGTTTTACATCAGCTTTTGCAGAGGCCTGCTCTTGTGGAGGAGAAGGTGGGTACAGCTGATGAAGTTGCTCTCCGACAAGCCTGAGGGTTGTGCCACGTCTTCTCCAGTTGTCAGTTTTTGAGGAGGAGGAGTCCTAGGCTGCACAGGCATTCACACAGCAACTGTTTTCCACCTCTGGTCATCCTTGTTGTTGTTCTGAGAGCCCTCTCTTTATAGTTTTAATTTATTTGAGAGCGTATGATACTCAGAGTGCAATGGATCAGTACATTTTCGTGGTGATTTTTATTCTGTTTCTCTATTCCCTTATTATTTTGATTATTCAAAATATTAAACCAATAGTGTCGTGAAAATTGTTCCTGTTCTACCAGAAATTCATGTCAGCTAAGCCTCTGGGGAGTTACTGAGTTACATTTATTGAGTACAGTGATGCTAACTTAAGGAATATGAGTTTTATATAGTGAAGCACTTTTATAAAGACAAGCCAAACCTATGACCACAGAGATAAAGTTATATGAGGCAGTTTATAAATGTGTGTAATAAAAGCATATAACTTTTACAGATAGTTTTGTCTCATCTAATTCAAAAAGAATCAGTTACACTAAATTCTCACCATAAAAACTGCAGTGTTACCCTTCAAATGTAATAATTCAAAATATTAATAGCCGTGCAAAAAATGAATTGTCAGAGTAGGAAATTTAGTATTACCTTTGGGATCTTCATGATTGTTGGACAGAGAGAGCTAATACGTTTTTTGAAAGCACTTCCTTTAAGTGCTTGTATCTTAAAAATGTGCAAAAATTCTAAGTAACAGTCTTGTAAATTAATTTCCAGCAAGACTTTGCTGACCATTTTCAGTATGTATTCCAGTTCTTACGTGTTACTGTCAATTTTGCTTGGAGGAGGCAGCACACAGTGGTGAATTCACATGGACGTTATTCTAGATTTGACAGCATACCACAGTGCAAATTAAACCACATATGTTTTCTGTAACAAAATACTTATCAGACTGCAAGTATTTGCTATACCTTTGTAAAAAGAAAACTCTGCATGATCCTTCATTTTTCCTAAATTAATGTTGTTAGGACTGTGGAAAAAAAAAACAAAACAAGGTCTTGCAGTTAGGTACTATAAATGCTTTTTTTTTAGTCAGGATAATACTAATAGTTCATTTCATTGTTTGAGGGTAGTTACACCTGGCCTACCACATGACTTAAATTGATTTTGCTAAATTTTATAGCAGGCTCCATGATTTAGAACAGTACTTAATTATTACACAGAAAGATAATAGTTGCCTATGATGAGAAAAGTTATTTCTGTATAATTTGCAGTTTGTTCGTTTTATCTGTGTTTTATCAAGCAGGGTTCTTATATGTTGGGATGGTAGCTTTGTTTTAAACTGTCAAATATATGCAAAGTTACCAGTGCCATGACAAAAGCACATTGCTGAAATAAACATATCTCGTTCATCACACTTTCATGCTTGTAATGAGCATAAAACTTAATCTCTACTTAACGCCATGTGGTGTATTTGTAAATTCTGACCTTTTTTGGAGCTCACTTGTGCTCCATGGTTCCTGGAGATTAATTTTGGTACGAGTAAACAAAACCATAACATACAGTGGAGATTACTGACTCTGTACCTACGTGGATGCAAATGTAGTTCGTATGTGTGGGTACACTGCAACGTGATTAATGATACCAGAATCATCAGTGAATGCAAATGTAGTGATGCTGGTTGCGATTTGACAAGACTGAGATGATGCACTGTCTTGCTTTTAAGCATTTTTGCCTCCAGTCATATGGCCCTGCCCCTTCCTTGTCTCTCTTTCAGTACTTTCTGAGGTACATCCTAGCGTCTTACCTTTCTCCATGAAATGAGAAACTCCATTGTTTTGATGCAGAGTTTACACTTTGTGTGTAAGACATGCGCTGACACGTCCTTTCAAATTCCGTTTTCTGCCTGAAGCCTTTTTTTAGTTTGGTTTCCTGCAGCAGCTGGGTTAAAGCTGTTTTAATGTATTTTTCATGTTATATGCAAACATTTCTTGCATAATTTCTTCTTAAAGTCGCTGGCCTTTTTGTCTGTACTTTAGTCTCTTCCTTCAGACCAATCTTGGTAATGTATCCACAAGGTTTTTGCACACGTGTGGGAGCTGTGGGGGAGGGAGGGGATTCCCTTCAAAGTCCCATTTTAATTGCTTAGGTTGTGAATTATTTGTGTTCCTTCCTCACTGAAATTCCGCTTGGTATAAAATTCTGTCTCCTAGCTATATGTTGCTTGTTTTGCAAAGAAAAAGAAGGCTTTGGGATCCCTGCGTGTACAGATATAAGTCAGGGTGATGAAAAAGCACCCCAGGTTGCTCCTTGTCACAGCAGTAGCCCCAGAAGCACCTGGGAGGCTCTGCTCAGCAGCACTCACCTGCAGTTGCTCTGTGCAGGTGCTGGCTTTTCTGTTCTCCAGGTAACACCAAACCAGCTGTATATGTAACGGTGGCAAGAATCAAATGGTAGAAAAAATAAAATCATTTGAATCTGAAGCGTCCTTTTGTGACACATTTAGTCTCAAATTCTTTGGTTTTGAGCATTTCCCTAGTGTTAGTGCTTGTAGGTAGCTTCCTTTTCCCTGTGCACATTTTTTGTAGTGAATGTGTTAAGATCTTATATGAGTGGCTTCATCAGTGCCTGATGGGTCTAGTTTTGTGACCAGGCAATGTGAGTTGCCTTCTGTTCTGCTTCTTGCTGGAGTAGGAAAGCCTCCCTATTTTTAGAGGAGACTGCTTCAGATCCTGAGCCGTCCTTTGCATCCAGTTCATGTGTGCCATCACTGGAAGAACACGAACATTTGATTTGTGTGTGCACTTGTGTATCAAATTTTAAAATTTTTTCTGTTACCTCTTTTCTAGAAAGTGTAATCATCAATTATTATAATTAAAAAAACCTCACATCTTACAATCCTGGTTTTGAGTCTAAGTGCAGTGGGCTGTTAGAGACATAATCCAAGAAAGCCAAAATAACTGTTTTAATACTTAAGTGATATCAGAATAACAAATAACTTTAATAATGGCATAACCCCCTGTGGTGTGTGTGTGTATGGACAGGTATGTTTCTTTCTAAGGACTTCCAGTAGCAAAAGACCTCACTGCAAGTGACTCTCAAGAATATTGAGAGCGTGAGTATTTCTAAAGGCCTGCTGTTGAATTTGTGAGAGTTGATCTAACAGCTGGTTTATTTAAATTATAGTGAAGATGAGACATTGTGCAATCATTGTGCAAAATCATTAATTCAGAAGGGAAAAAAATAGTAAAGGCTACTTTCTGCTCTTATTTACATTTTCAGACTTTTATGTTCAGATTGTTTATTGATCCTGCAATAGAGTGACAGAATTTAATAGATGAAATTTGGGAAACATTTAATGCCATGTTTTGTATGAATCTATTAATAGAGAAATGGCTGTAGTATTGTGGTCTACTGTTAGTATGAACAGCAATCTTACCGGAATGGTGATTTCCTGTCTAGTAACTGTTTTTTTTTCTTTTCTTTTTTTTTTTTTTTCTTCTGGCACGTTCCTGACACTCCTACTTGCTTGTGGGAATGAATATTTTGATCCTTGTGAATTCTAGAGCCTATTGTGAAGAATGGCAGGCCTCCAACGTCTCACAGTATGCACTCATTTCTCCACCAATACACAGGATCTTTCAAGAAGCCCCCCTTACGAAGACCACATAGCGTCATAGGGGGCAGCCTCGGCTCTTTCATGGCAATGCCCAGAAATGGGAGCAGACTAGGTAATTTACTACATCGTTTGTTTAAATTCTTTTTTTTTTTCCTGTGGAAAAATAATGTCTGTATTGATTCTTAGCAAGGGGCACAGTTATTCTAATGCTTTAATAAATCTCAGGGAATGCATTATTTTTTTTTTTTTTCTGGGGTTGCTGGGATAACTTCCTTTTAAGGTATTGAATATCTCAAAGAATTTTAGAAAGAGGGCAATTAAAAGAACCCATGAATTTTTGACAAGTTAAAAAGGTACAAAAGCCGCAAAGTACTCTTAATACTTTACAAGGAAACTTGCATCCGGCTCAGTGAAAAGCATTGGTGAGAACTACAACTGAATATATAAAAATGGAAGATAATCACTGTATCTGGAATTGAAAAATGTGATGCATTACATAGACCTTTCAATAATACAAGGAAAAAAATGTTTTTCAATGATAAAATAAGGCCAGTTGACAATAACTGTCTTTTGTTGATGTCTTGAGCTGTATTTGTGGGGCAAATGAGTTACAAATGTGTTTTGTTCTCTTTTGATTAATTTGTCATATTGCTGCTTCCAGTCCCCGTTAATGTTTTACCCTGCTTTTATGTTGTTTTAAATTCCGCTTCATTAATTGAATGAGAGCAAGTCAGTTTAATTAGAATTTTATGTATTTGTTTCAAAGTGTGTGACACTCAAACTGATCTTGTTCAAGATTAAGCTACAAGTTTTCAAGATACTCATCAAACCACTTACATCTTACATCCTCCCTTCTTTCTTATCTCTCATGCAAATTTTGACTGCAGTATTAATTCCTGATTTCACTCAGCTACTTCATGGTACTTTTTTTTTTTTCCCTGACAATTATCTAATAGGAAGACAAAGTTGTTGGGTTTTTTTTGTTGGTTTTGTTTTGTTTTGTTTTTTTAAGCAAAGCAACTGTGCTTAAAGATCTCTCTGGTTAGTTGTATTTCGTCTTTTATGTGCAATTTGTTAAATCAGGTGTATGTGAAATGTGTGCAGAAAGAGCAGCATGGTATAGTTTTGTATTGTGTGCTGCCTTTAAATGAAGCGGAAGCATTTCTTTTAAGGGCAGATTTGTCAATAAGTTATTCCTTGTCAGATTTCCACTATAAACTTCAACTTTGGGGGGAAAAAAAAATAAAATCCTGATCATGTTGTGTTTTTTTAATGACCTTCCAGTTTTCTCACTTTTTCACAAAAAAAAAATACTAGCACATGAGTAATACAGAAGAATGGCATTTATTTTCTTCTTAAGATGATCAAGTTTTGCGTGTTTAATACTCAAAATTTGTAGAAAGTGTTGTAGCATCCCATATTAAATATCTGCAGATTCCTGTAGAATTGTCATTTCATTGAAGGTGGAGAGAATAGATTTAGTGAGTGTGCTACTTATTCATCACGTTTTCCCTCTTTCTCTTTAGAATAATTAGTCACTCAAAGCTTGATATTTCACTTATTTTCATCTCATTTAATGTAAACTTAACCTACCTGTTATTTAGTAGCATTTTTCCATTTTTCTGTGCAAGCAAAATAACTAATATCCTCTCTGCTGCTTCTTTGCATCTTTTCTCCCTTTGTTCCTGGCATATGGGAGTGGTTACTACTCAGCAGGATGCTGAAATATTCTCCATTGGGATGACATCAGAAACAAAATGGTCAAATATCCCACGCTACATGAGGCTTTTGTGTGTGTGTTTTTATTCATTCTATTTTCTTTCATTTTTTTTTCTATTCTGGTAATGGGAACGTGCTATTAGATTCTTGAAATAGCACAAAGTGCTAGTAGTAAAAGGATGAAAAAGGATGACTTGGTTAAAAAAAAAAAAATAACAGAATAAAACTAGATCTGCCACAAGTACAGCTTCAAACAGCTTGCTTTTGAATGAGATTATCACTATTAGAATTCACTGAGAGACTTGGGAGGGATTTCTTGTTTGTTTTCTCTGCACTGAACATGCTGCAGAGTTCCTGCTGTTGTGGTAACATGTAAAGTCCAAAAACATTTTTGAAGACCTTTGTACTTGAAAATATTTTGGCTAATTTGAGGTATTGTAAAGACAGAATTGTGTCTCTGTTTAATGTTTTGCATTCAGTTATTTTTATGGTTTTTCATTAAAAGAGATGACCCTCAGTGACTTATCAATGCCAATAATGCAGCTCCAGATGAGTTTTTCTCACTTGCATATACCTCATAACTATAGAGCTCCTGCAGTCCTGCACCTCCAGAAATATTTAACTGCTGTAGATCCTTAAAGAGCGAGAGTTAATAAACAACTTGCATACCTTCTCTGGCTTAATACAGGGCCAACTTCAGGTGTCCTTAATCCATATTTATATCACTGGGAATATCGAAGAGGTACTTGGGATACCCAAAGCCAATTCATGGGCCTCAAGCTGGTCGTCTTCAACAGCAGCAGCAACTCACCCATGCTTTAGCCAGTTGTCTCAATACAGTAATGAGGATCTGTTTCCATGTCATAAATATCTGAATTGAAAGGAATTATGTTTTCATAGTGTTTTCATAGTTTGCTGTTGTTAACAGCAGAAGTGATTTCTCAACATTGCCTTCCTCAATTTGAATTACTAGGGAAATTAATAATGAAATTTAGCCACTTAGCAAAGTAGGCTTTAGAAAAGTGCATCTTGGAAGTATGCATTTTTTTTTTTAACAGTTATAATATATAAAGATCATGGAATCTGACTACAGACTAATTTGTGGATATTGCTTTAGCTCAAACAGACAAATTTTCATTTGCTGCTACTAAAGGTTCCCCACATGCAGTTTCTTTTGGTGGTCCTCAACTGAAATGAGGATAGCCGCCTCTTTAAAACATGCTTCCATGGTTTTCTTGTTATATTGTAGTGATCTACACCTTTTCCTTGCACAGCCATGCTGGGTATTCACTTAGGTATCTAAGATATTGTAAGAGAATGGCTGTGTTATTAAATGATGGCAATTGAATACATTATTAAACATTATTAAAACCTCTGAAGACCATGCAAGTTGGCTTTGGTGCAGATGAACTTGTCTTAGAAAAGCTTAGTGTGATTAAATAAGTATTTGCATTTTCAGCTTTGCTAATCAAATATTATTGTCATGCACACCTGTGTAAAAATATCAGAATGCTTCATTCTGATTCTTATGCTATTAATATAATGAATATAAAGTATATAGAATATATTAGTATAGAGAATATAAATATAAAATGATAGGATAGTTTCTGTAACACCAGTAAATAATCTACTTAGAACATTTTGGTCCATCGTGGGTATGTAGCTTCTCCAAACATACCAAAATTAGTCATGTCACAGAGTTTTTAACATGGATTGGTCATCATTGCCTTATGTAAGTCTGAAATGCTACATTTTAGGCTTAAATGAGACGGACTCACTTTGTCTTCTCATTACTGATTTGTAAAAAGCAGAGTCGTCTTGCATCTCTATTATCTGTCCCAAATGCATGGTTCTCTGTTACTCGTTCTTGAAATATTCCTTAGTTGTGTATTACTGCATTCTTTTTGGTAGGTATTCTTTTGAGTAGAAGTATTATCTTTGTCAATTAGAGTACTCTTCATAGTTGTGAATGCTGCTTTTTGAAGTGTGAAGTTTTTTAAAACAATTTCATAATACATTCTCTTTCACAAATGGAACATTGTGTATTTTAAAAGTATGACAGTATCAATCATATGGTTACTTTCATGTAACTGTTAGGTTTTTTTTTTTTTCCTTTCTTTTCTTTTTAATGATGTCATTGCTTTGCAGCGTAAAATACAGCAGTTCTTTAGTTTCATGGAAGTTGTCCAAGGAACTGTCTCTTGTCTAACATCTGTTGTTGTCCCCATAAAGCAGAGCTCAGCGCTGCCCCTCCGTTCCCTGTGAGGAGCTGCAGCTGCCATCAGGCCTCCCCTCAGCTCCTCTGCTCTGCGCTGAGCAAACCAGGGGGCCTCAGCCGCTCCTCATGCCTCTTGCTCTCTGGGTCCTCCATTGTCTTTGTAGCCCTCCTTTGAACAGTCCCTGATAGTTCTATGTCCTTCTTGTGTTGTGGGGCTGCTCTTCAGCTTCTTGTTCCCCAGTCTGTGCGTATATGCTTCATCCCAGATGTAGTCTGGCACTTGCCATTAAAACTTCATGCCATTGGTGATTGCTTAGCCTTATCTCTTCTTAGGGGAGTCAAAAACTCCTCACAATTTAGCATTGTTGCAAACTTTCCTTTAACTAGAACCCTTTGAGCATAGCTCATCAGCCAGTTGTTCACTCATTGCATTAGGTTTTTGTTTAGCTGTATGCTAGACATTTTGTCCAGAAAGATACTGTCAGAAAATGTAGCAAAAGCTTTGCTGAAATCCAAAAGACCTCATCAGCTTGGTCAAGTATGTCGGTCACCCTGTCATAAAAGGAGATTAAGTTTACAAAGATTTGACAAAAAGGAGTAATATTTTATCATTTTAGCCTAAGGTTAAAGTTGATATTTGGGAGTCAATTTCTAAGTCTTTCCCTCGTGTTCAAACTAGCATGCCTCTAGAAGTACTGATGAACCTTTGGTTCAAAACCAAGCTGCAAGGAATGCAGCTTGTTTTTTTCTGGCTCATGCTTTGTATATGGGATTTGTGCTTAAAGAATTGTAATTAAACACAAATTAAGTTAAAATACATGGAAATACCTTATGAGTAGTTACTCTTTTTATATCCTTCATGCTTTCTGTAAAAAGAAATTCATAGTACTAAGAAAGTTTAGTCCTTTGAAGTTTATGTGATCCTACATGAGCTAAACAGGACAAACGTTTTAGAAGATGTGTTGATATCCAAACTTTGGCTTGAAGGGTTTTTGTTTCTTGAAAAGCCAGTTTTCTTTCTTTCTTGTTGGTAGTGATAAAACATGCACATTCCGTCTGTCTGTCTGTCTCTCTCTTTCTCTGTGTGTGTGTGTGTGTGTGTGTTTGTCTTTGTCTGTGTGGTATTTGTTTGTTTTTGTTTTAATTGCTGTACTTCTGAGCAAATGCTAAATATTTTGAGGTATATTGAACTTTGTGTGTTTTGTTTATGTAAGCTTTTTTTCAGGGTTGAGTTTGTCCATCAGGTTCCCTTTTACACTGTCCAAGATAACACTTAGTAATAGGAACAGAAGAGGTCGGGGAAGCTCAGGTCTTTTGTCACCTTTTAGATATGTGTATGTATTTATTCTGCAGCCTTGCTCACAGTAGGGGAGCTGGTACTAGACGATCTTTGTGATCCCTTCCAACCCAAGACATTCTATGATTCTATGTAGCAATTTGGAGCTCAAATATTTTAGAGGTGATAATAGAACATCACTCAGGGTAACTTGCTTGTATGGCCAACTTCACACTGTGTGTACTTTTGCATCTGATTTGTCTCTTTATGCTATTAATGATGCCACGTCAGCTCTTCTCCTCAATCTTTACAGTAATAGTCTTTCAAAGTCTGGCAGATCCTGTGGCAGTAAAGAAAAGTGATGTTTGGTACATACATGACATGTGAACTGTTTTATGTGGATGAATCTACAGGATTATATTAAAAGTACTAATTACAGTTTTCATAACGATCCTACAACAGCATGTAACTCAACAGGACTGTTACCTAAGATTCTCCCATGAAAACATAAATTTCACTGAAAGGCTTCTGAATCTCAAGTCCTTTTCTGAATCTACTTACACATTGTAGACCTCTGTTCAGGCAGTCAGAGTACATCCTATTCCTCCATACGAGTGTGTTTTCTATAGTTAAAGTTTCCACATTTGGCACTTCTGAAAGTGATATCTATACTTTTCAGTTGTTTTGTGTGTTCATTTATTTAAAGTTTTCTATTTAAAGGCACTTGCAAGGCAAGTAGTCTGAAAATCTTAAATATTTTCATATTTTATATATTTTCTAGTGAATCTCAGCTTCCTATTGCAAACACAAGTTTTTCTAATCCAATAGTAGAAGGAAGAGATAATGAGGAAAGTCAGGAGTTGAAATCCTGATGGGTAGGTGGCTTGTAGGAATTAAAATAGGAATTTGACATTCTTTTGTTTTGGAAAATTCTATTCTGCTGAAAACTAAGAGAGGTAACGTTAAAATTTGTGTGTGGATTTTATGAAGTATTCCTTTTTCATTCTGGGATCTCTGAGCCGTGAAAAGTGTATTGAGACTATTATTACTGTGGTGAGCCTTTGAAATAAAAATCATTGCACAGTTGTTTTCTGCCTGTTTAAGAGAGATCATTTAGTGGAAAACTGATTGACTGTGTTCTTTTTGTTTGGTTTTTTTTTAACTATCTTTAAGATATTGTTCACGAAAATCTGAAAATGGGGTCAGATGGTGAAAGTGACCAAGCTTCTGGAACATCATCTGATGAAGTTCAGTCTCCCACGGGTGTTTGTCTCAGAAACCGAATACATAGGCGAATCTCAATGGAGGTAATTTACTTTTCATATAAGGATTGTTTAAGTTGACAAGAGAGAATGGAGTTGTTCTAGTTCTTTGTAACTGGTTGTCTTCTCAAACATCTTTAAACATTTTGACATACTTAGTGTGGAGAGGATTAATATAATAGTGCTTAAATGTCTAGCTCCATTTGTCACACACAAATAAGACAGTTGTCTTGCTTGCATTGTTTATGAGCTGCTTATTTTGCAAGCTAAATATGTTTTGAAACTTGAATTTCTAGGTAGAATTTATTATATGTAGTTTTTAGAATATCTGCACGTTCTATACAATTCATTAAGTATGTTGAAGAAGGAGTGCTGTTCAGATATTTTTTTTTCTTAAAACTGTTGTGTAATCTTTCTAAAACAAAATGTGGCAGAAGCAGTGGTCCAGACTGCTTGAGCCTTTCTCTCTCTTCCTGTTTTTTAATGAACGGAACTTTACAATAATGGTAAACAAAAGGAGGAAAAAGTACCTTACGAATAACTGTGCACATAATTTCCTTTATTTATGAGTCTCATTATGAATACTAGCCACCCTTGTGCTTGCTTTGTCATTTCCCTTGGCAAAGAAAAACAAAATGCTTCCCTGTTTCTCAAATGTGTAAAAGTGATAATGGTCCCTTTGTTACAGAAGCATGTAAAATTTTGCAGTTTCTCCATAACAGCATGTATGCCAATATGAATAGTTTGTAAGATTTTAGATCTTCTTTCAAAGCATGATATGAAATATAGGACTAGAGAAGCTAGATCTGTGTAAATTACACTAGGGTGAAAATGCCAAAAAATTTTGATTGGTGAGGCATTCTGCTATGCTTGGAATTCCAGGACTCCAAGCATGTAATGCTGGTCTGATTCCAAGAACTTACAAATTATTTGTATTAATTATTTATATCTTCTGCTTCTTTTTTTCTAGAAATTCCTGATTTTTTTTTATATTAATCTCAGGTTTAATCTAAATACTGTTAAAGCTGGACCTTTTACATGGGAGAACTAATTTAGGTATGTTGATCTATGCAGGAGGCTTTAAAAAAATCTTTAAAGCTTGTATATCAGAATGTATTCTGGATAAACTCAAAACTGAAGAAATTTTCAGACAAGTTTATTTACTTTTTTTTTTTGCTTAATATCTATTTCCTCTGCATTTCATCTGAAATACACATTTAGATCAGGAAGGAAATAAGAAAGTTTGTAGCAGATCATGAAATTAATGAACTGAAATGGAAAGATGCTGAGACTTAAGGAGAAGGAGCCACCAAAGGGTTCTCATTTAAATGAGGATTAATGTATCTCTAAAATAAACTATAAAAGTCACAGAAATTTAGGACATTCGTGTGTAATTTTTTCAAGAGATATCAAATAAAAGCTGCTTTTTAGTGGACTCCTAACATTGTGAAGAAGTTCTAATATTTTTCCAATGGTTTTTATTTCAGTTTGGTTTATTCAGTGCTGATATTCTCATTTTTCTCCAAATTCCAAGTGCTTGTTTGTAGTTCTTGAACGTATTTTTTTTTTCAATTGATTGACCCAGTCAATGAGAGCATTTGTTTTTTGGCAGCTATTCCTGTGTGTTCTATGAGAATTTTAATGTTTCCCCCAAATTACTTCAGTGTTAATTTAGCAGCTTTTAGGATTTCAAGACAAATGAATTCACTTCTTCATTAAAATTCAGTTCTGAATTTTAGGAATGCTGTCACTGATGGATATTTTTAGCTGACGTAAGTTTACTCTTTTGAAGTGGTCTGTAGCATGGTAGGTGCAGTTTTAAACCTGTTTGTGCATGCCACACAAAAGGAGCTGTAACAATCTTTATATCTTTGATTAAAAAGCCTTTCTAATCGTAATCATTTCAGTGCAATTTATCTGGTTTCTTAAGCAAAAAAGCCTGAAGTGATTATATCGTCTGCCTGTCATTCCCTCATCCAAGTTTTCCCGTGGGCTTTTTTCAGTCAGTTTTGACGGATGAGAATCTCAGATGATAATTTTCTGCTCATTTCTGAGGGAAAAAATAAACCTTGTGAATCAGGATAGACTACTAATCTATACACTGCTGGGAAAGATGCAGAATACTGCAGAATCCACAGCTTAACCTGGCTTTGCTGCCCATCAAATAGCAACAGTTGCTTCCTTGGTCTTCAAGGGAGCCAAATAATGGGTTTCCTTCTTAGTCCAAATATTGCCTGCCTGCCTTGAGTGGTTTGCATCATGGAGCTGGCTAGTTCAATACTAGTAATGTTATTATATAAAGAAATGGTCTTTGCTCAGAAGCAAGTGTCTGTTATTTCAATTTTATTTTGTTAGTGTGTGGAAATCTGTCATTTTTAGATTGGGCATGATTAGGTAGCTTGAGGCTGTATTCCCTTTGTATTCTGTATGTATGTATACGTTATATATACATACACACTATGCTGAACACACAGGTTAGAGTAAATTAGTATGTGTGATAGTTTTTTATTTGCTGTAGTCTGCTGAAGTCATTAATCATATATTAAATCCATTGCAAAATATATTTGATATATACAGAGTTGGCTAAACTCAACAAACCAGTGTTCTTTGTTTTTCTGTGTTAGAATGAGTGTGCCTGTCTCAATATGACTATATCCTTGTGCTTATTTAGGATAATATTTGCTATATTTGTAATATTTTTTAATATAATTTTGTATATATGTTTGTTTCTACTGAATTGGCAGAAGTCCTGAGTTTTTGTTGGTTTTTTTTGTTTGTTTGTTTGTTTTTAAGGAAACTAATCAGGTAAAACTGAAACTTTGTAAAAAATCTTTTTTTATTTTTAAGAACTTTATAATCAAGATTTTACGCACTACTTCCTTAAAGTTCTGCAAATCAGCAGCCCATTAAAAATAATAATAATAATAAATGCTTGCTAAAAGCATCCTGTAATTGATGCTGATTATCGAGTCTGTGTCCCAGTGTTCTTGGGATGCTTTTTGCATGTCGGAAAATACATTTTGATCTTTAGTGTTCACCATATTACTCTTTTCTCTGTAATTGTTAAATAATTCTGAGCTAGAATAAAATCAAAACGTTGCGGGATAGCAGACAGATTCCCTTGTCAAGGGTATTCAGAAGAAAACATGGCAGAATCTCATTTGGTTGTCTAGATAAAAAGTATTTTGCAAGTAACCTATAGACTACTAGTGATTCATAGGACAGTTGCTTCCCTCCTTTCAGTAACCATACTGACAGTAGTTGCAAACATATATTGTCCAGGGAATTTGACTTCCAACAGCAAGTGTTCATTGGAGGCCCTGTGCCCATGCATTGGATAGTGAATTCTTCATTAAGTACAGTACTGGGTAAAAAAATAAGGAGATACAGTCTGTGCAAATTGAAACATCTGTTTTCCTTTCCCAGAAATCCAAAGTCTGTAAGCTGTCTTCCTATGTGAACTGGCAGAGGGCCATAACCCACTGTTCACCAGCCTGTTTCCCAGGTACTTTATCCTGTGAAACAGTTCTTATCCATCTGACTGTCACATTAGTGGCAGGAGTTTGTTCCAGATCAGACTGCTCCTACCACGTTGCTGTAGGGTATAATTTTCCCCTGGGAGGATTAACTGCACATTTAATGCTTTTAGCTCAGAAGAGAAACAGAAAAACCGTGAAGTAATCTTATAGTTAGGTGTGAGTTGTACTGATTACTTTCAGAAAAAAAGAATGCATGTAGTTGAAAAATAAGGTTTTGGTGAGCCTACACTTTTACCAGGGTTATGACTGCTGCACAAGTCTTGACTGATACAGCTTGAATAACTGAGTTGGCTCCTGGTTCTGGTTAGGGAAATGTACCTGCTTCAGAGAGAAACCCACAAAATAAATTGACCTTTAAGCAGATGTAGTGCTACAGTTTTCTCTTTGTAGGCTTCAAGTTAGAACATGGTTCAGAGGTTTCCATTCCAATGTGTTGTAAATAGGGCACAATCAGCCTCCATTCAATTTAAATTCTAAATTCTTGAAGAGTAGACTGGATGGCAGTACTGATTCAGGCTTTAAGTTAGAGGCAGTACAGTATGTTCTCCTGTCATTAGTTTTGGGAGCAGGAAAAAACTGCAGGAAGCACTGCAGAGCATGAGCATTCACCCCAGTATCTCTTACTACTTGACAGGGTGCTGTGAATCCCTGCAACAGTGCCTCTTGAGTAAGGCTTCAGTAAGCAAAGATTCTTCCTGCTTCTCTGCTTGTCAGCTGTACAATCCTTTCTGCCTTATTTGCTGGATTTTGTCTAATTTCCTTCTCTATGCACTCTGAGATGATATAGATCTCCTGCTCACCTCTTCCATGCGTCTGTGTGATCACCTACCAGTAGGTAGAGAGGAAAAAAAAAAAAAAAACAACCATGAAGCTGTGTACCATCAAATGTTTACTTCCTTTAACATGGTCACTGTATTATCTGTTCTCAGTTGCACTTGGAAACTGTCTGATCTTATGCAACATTACGCAAGAAAACGTGCTGTTATGTTTGTAGGCTCCTACTTTGAGGCTTGCATAAAACTTGATTCTTTGTAAATCTCACTTCAAAAAATGCAAGTCCACATTCTAAATGACTTGTATAGCATTGATGAAAGTGATGGGGCTCCTTTTGATCTGTTCGATTAGCTGATTTTCATTTCTTCTGTCAAAAACAGTCGCTGCTACAAGAAAAATAATTTCAGCTGGGACTTCTAGAACTTTCCTTTTAATAGATTTTTCTAGGAATAGGGATTACTGTCGAGTAACAGCAGAAAATATCTTTTTGCCCTTCTGTTAGGAGCCTCTATAATCCTAGAAGTCCTGGCATTCCCCTTAAAAATGTTGTTTCCTTAGAAAAGTTATTTCATTTTGTGATACCCATTTTATAAGGATGGAATATCTACTTTTTTGCTTTTTCTCATCAATAACTTGTCTCCCTTTTAAGTTCCTTTCTTTCTGAGTTCCCTTTACAAGTAATTTGGTATCGTATTAGATGTATTTAGCCATCTACAAATCAGATCTCACTTG